TTTATATATTTTTTCATTTTCCCCGACAATATTGCACCATACAAAAAGCAATAATAAAACAAAAAGACAACGACTATCTTATGTCGTAATCTAATAAAATATGGAATAAAGAAATTCTTTAAAAGCATCTTCAATTACAATAATACAAAAATTAAATATACCTTATCCGGACCGACAAGAGGAATGAAATTGAAAAAAAAAAAAAAAACCACCAAAATTGTAATTCGAGATTATATACAACAAGAACAACAACATGCCCAACCAATGTATTGATACAACATCACTCATTTCAATACAAAAATCAAAGATGAAACCGAAAACTAACCTAAAACCAACCGAAAATAAATATAATCACAAATGAGGGGTTCCAAATTTTAAGAAAACAAATCATGCACAAAAAGGGTAAATAAAGAACAAAAAAAACATTAAAAAAAAATCTCATAATTCAAAATATATATATCCATTTTAGCATATTTTCAATATATATTCTTATAAACAACAAAAAGTAAATAATATATATATATATATATAAATTCAGACAAGCAAAATTCAAGAAAGTGAAAGATTAAATTAAAAAAAAAATCATGTGGAAAAATTCAACTAGATAAAATAAAAGATTTTAATTAGTAGTCTGCAAACAATATTTTGTTATCAACTTTTGAGATAGTTTATATTTGACATGCGATTTATAGCCATTATAAATTTTCATCAGAATCATTGACCACTTACTTATGATGATATTTACACAATTACACAAAATGAACAAAAGACAATCTCTTTTGCAGCAAACTTTCAGATGACATTAACATCCAAAGCTAGTATTTTGTTCCTAATTTTGATCGTCGTTCAAGTTGTTGTATCAATTAAGGAGAGCATGCACAGACACACATATATATCACCAATAATAGAATCTCTAACTTTTAACATTAAGATAAGAGAATCATTTCATATTCGGTTCAACATATCCGGCAAACTTTTAACATTATTGAAAAATCGCTTACTTTTTAACTTCAACATAATATCCAAGGGGTATATGTCTGCATAATCAAACACCACAAAGTATTTTTAATCATAACTTGTTTTATAATAACAATATCCAATTTAAAATAATAATTGCTAGTTTCACACAATTATATGACAAATTAGAGTAGCACATAGTCACATACTACCTATGCTATGTGAATGAATTGGTGTACATTTGTGTTTGTAGGTATATATATATATACATATAGCTTTAAAGGTAAGGAGTAATTAACTTGTTTTTATTAACATTGATGCAGAGACCTTAAAATCGAACATATGAAGGAATCCTCGACCTATTGTACATAAAATAAAAAAACTATAAAAAATATGCAAATAACAGTTAGTATCTTGAAAAATACTATATAAACAAAATTGCAAAAGAGATTCAAATAACATTTAGTATTTTTGAAAACATGATATAAAAAATTAAAAAAAAAATATTCAAATAACATTCAATAATTTCAATAGTCCATTAATAGTTGAATTCTCATTCACAAATTATATGGACTAATCTGATTAGACGTTAATTCTTTATAGATAAAATGATACAATTCTCTTAAATAAAATTAAAAAAAAAAAACAAGATTAACAAATATATATATATATATATATCATTCAATAAGAAAAGATAATATATCAAAAGCCAAGAGAAATAATAAATTTTCAACAAAAAAAATCATTGGTGAAAATATTAAAAATTACAAGATAAATCAACAAGAAAGAAATAAAATTGAAATATATATATACATATATTGTTCAATATTTTATAAAATTCTTGTCAATCATAAAATTGATGTGTTAGTACCAAACTTATTATTGTGGATAGCAGATTGACATTAATTACTTGTCATTACTTATTTTCTAAGTCATTTGAAATACATATACATATGTGTGTGTGTGTATATATATATACATTGCAATGTTACTATTAAATATTGAGATAAGTTTATTGATAGCTCACAATCAATTTTTAAATGAATTATTTGATACTTTCAAAATTCTGACAATTATACTATGCACATTACTTGTAAGCTTTGGACAAGATGAAAAATTCTATGATATTCATGACATAAGTGTGTATATTGTAAAAACGAGGTTGTGAAAACAAAACCAAATAAACCTATATTTAATTAATCGAATATGCGCAAGTGTATAATAATAATAACAATAATAACTAAATTTTTTATGTTAAATATTTATTTTTAATATCTTCATTATTTTCAAAATATTGAAAGTTTTATAATTACTAAATTAATATTTTAATTTATTTTTATCATTAAAGTGAAAATAACAATAAAAATTATTTTACTTATAATATTTTTATAATTTTCTGATATTTTTTGTAATTTCCAAGAATCAATAATAAAGATTCAACAAAATTTGAGATTTATTATTTGATTATGGTTTAAAATTAAATTTGATTTTTAATTTAAATAATATTTTAATTGATATTTTATAAAATAAAATAATAATTTTTTAAAAAAAATATAAACACAAATACACTAACTAAAGATTCTTGGAGTTCCCAAGGTTAAAATGAAAAATTAAAAGGTCATCTTACTAAAAATAAATCCAACATAACCTCAAAGATTTAACTTGAAGTCGTTAATTTTAGTAATTTGTTAATAATTCATTTGAATACACACTTGGCTCAACGATAATATAATAATTTTATATTATTTTTATATTATTAATATATGATAAATAAGATTTAAGTTCAATTGAAAAAAATAGTAAAACCAAAAATAAAAATTTTAAAATAAAATAATAGAGTAAATATTTAATTTAATATTAAATAAGATTATATAATAATCATTTTAATAAAATATGAATATTAATATTTTAAGATTGAACGAATTAATATATACAAATAAATCATCAAATTTTGTTGCAAGTTCCATAGCCAATAACTGTAAGAGTAAAGCAATTAATCTCTATTTTAAAAAATTGAACGAATAATAATATACAAACAAATCATCAAATTTTGGACAATAACACTAATGATTAAAGTAATCTTTGTTACAATAAAATCCAAATAATATTATCATCCAACAAATCATCAAATTTTGGGCAATAACACTAATGATTAAAGTAACATTTGTTACAATAAAATCCAAATAATATTATCATCCAACAAATCATCAAATTTTGGACAATAACACTAATGATTAAAGCAAATTTTGTTACAATAAAATTCAGATAATATTATCATCCAACGGCTAATATTTTATTCCTCAAACTTTTGTAGCTACAAACTATGGTATGACGAGCATGCATGTTCTGATGTACACAAAAATACATTACCAGTAGATGCAACAAACAAAACAATAGAATCATCAACTTTAAACATTGAGATAAGAAGATTATTTCATATTCAGTAAGAATTCTTCTTAGCATTATTGACTAACCAATTGCTTTCTAACTCCAACATAGCATCATGGAATGAAAGATTTTGCATATATGGCAACAAATTAAACCTGCACAATTGTATAGCACAAACAATTTTAATCCTAAATCATGTTACAACAAGAACGAGCTATTCCATAAATGTTGATTCAACTTAAAATAATAATAGCCCGTTTCACACACGATCATGACAAATTAGAGCAGCACGTAATCACATACTACCTGTGCTATGTGAATGAATTTGTCATGATCGTGTGTGAAACTGGCTAGAGCAGCATATAGTCACATACTATCTGTGCTATGTGAATGAATTTGTGTGTATGTATGTATGTATATATGCAAGTCCTCGACCTGTTGTATACAGAATAAGAAGTTATAAAAAAGAGTAAAACAACACCCTATATTTTCACAAATACAATACAAGAAGCTACAAAAGTGATTCAAGTAACATTCAATGTAAGAAATTGCAAAAGATATTCAAATAGCATTCAACATTTTCAAAAGTATGTTAATAGTTTAGTTTTCATTCACAAATTATTATTGACGGATCCGACTAAATATTAAGTTTTTATAAATAAAATGATACAATCACTATGATCATATAAGATGAAGCAAACAAAAAAAAAAAAAAGATTGGAATATATACACCTGTAGTGTTCAATAAAGAAAGATAATATGTCAAGAATAAGTGAAATAATAAATTCCCAAAAAGTGAATCATTAGTGAAAATACTATAACACGAACTACCATCTTATTTGAAGCACTCATAACAATACATACATTTATGTCATGGATATCAACAGGATTTCATGATTCATCTTGTCCAAAAAATTTAGAGGTGATGTGAAAGACGAGGTATTCAACAACCTCAATTTCTATTATGTGTTGTTTCCTTAGGTCAGGGTTATCCCAAATACACAAAGTGTAAGTACTAATTCATAAATCATAACAAAATATAAATTTAGAGAATAAATTATATAAAAAAAATTTCAAAACGGTGATATATGTAGTACATGATGCAAGTGCAAATTGATAAGCCATATTCGAATATAAATTTAGATTGAAAAGAATATCATAATCTCTTTAAGAAGGATTATATAAATTGTACAAATGTTAACTGATAAATCATATCCTAAAACGAATTTAGGGGAAAAAATATTATAAAATCTCAAGGGCATTATTGTGCATAGTGTAGATGCTAACATATGAACCAAACCGAATGCAAATTTAGACCTAAAAAAAAAAAAAGAGCACAAGACATCTTTTGAGAAATCTAAGATCTCAACTTTTCAACAAGCATTAATATTACTAAGTGTTAGATTTGGGCAGTATTTCACTGCTCTGTTTCAGATATTTCTGTTACAGACAGTTTATTTCTCCCATGCTCTATTTCACTGCTCTGTTTCCTATATAAAATATCAAATTAACATAATTTAACTGGAAAATGAAACTAAAAAATTCAAACACAGTCAAACTAAAATAGTAAAAAATCTAAAATATTCAAATTATTATAGTAATAATAATACAAGAAAATAAATGAGATTAGAATGAACCCTTTAAACTTATTGGTGCTTTGACGTCTGCTCCTTCAAATGCTTATCCCAATAAACAGAAGATTGTGAGTATCAATTTACCTAATTTCTAAATTTCATCAGGGGTTGGGCAAGTGACAGGTTCTGCCCAAGTGTTAGATTTGGGCAATATTTTTGTTCTGGTCCTATCTGTGGGTGCTAAAAAACATCATCTTGTTAAATTCTTCATATTGTCAACAATTTGATCATAAGTTCATAACATCTTTTCTTCGTGTATTTTAGTATGATAATAATTTGAGACCTTTTACAATGTGATCACGTTGCGAAAGCCACCAATCATGTTAATGGTGGAACTTTAAGGAAAAAAGTGTAAAATTTATAAGTAGCGACATCAAAATTTAATATGATTATTATAAATTTTCATATATTTTTTCATTTTTCCCTAACAACATTGCACCACCCAAAAAGTAATAAACAAAACAAAAAAGCTTTGACTAACTCTGCCGTGATCTAATAAAAACATAGAATATAGAAAGTCTTCGAAATCATCTTCAATTACAACAATACAAAACCTAAATATACCTTATCCGAACAAACAAGATGAATGAATCTAATAAAAAGACGCAACCACCAAAACTGCAATTTGAGATCAGATACAACAAGAATGATAACATGCCCAACCAATGTATCGACATAATATCACACATTTCAATATAAAACTCAACTCAACGAGGTAATAAAAAACTAACCTAAAAACACCCAAATAATAAATATGATCACAAATTAGGAATTCCAACTTTTAAGAAAATAAATCATACCAAAGAAGCTCACTGCAAGTAACAACTTCATTCGTTAGAATAACAATCAAAATTCGAAAATTATGAGCTTGGGTGAAGGTCAAATTAAAAACAAAAAAAAAAAAAAAAATCTACATGTAAAAAAATATATATATACATCCATTTTAGCATTTCCTCCAACATATATTCTTATAATCAACAAAAAGCAAAGAATAAATAATAAATAAATATACACAAAATAAACAATTTTTTTAGACTAGCCAAAATTCAAGGCGATAAACCATTAAAATAGCATTATGTAAAAGATTTACACCAAATAAAACAACGATTGTTTTATGGGGAATACAACAACGATTGTTCTATGTTTTAGGGAGAGAAACCAAAAACATCAAATAAATATATAATCAAGAAAGTACACAGATATAATTAATCTGTTAAGAAGCTCACCCCAATCAGTGTAACTCCACGAAATCGAAGTCGTCCTCTCCAACAGAAACGCTCACCTCCAAATTAATTATGTCTCTAACCCACCCAATCATCGGATTTTTCCTATTGCACATGAAAAATCAAATCACGGATATACAAAAAATCGAAAAAAAAAAAAGGATCCAAGGAAGGTGAACAGTATCAAGCAAACCAGAAGAATTTTAAAAAAATAAAAAAAATCAACAGCAGCAAAGGGTGAAAAACCAAAAACAAAAAACAGGTAGGGATTGAAGAAGGGGATGAAGAGCAACAGAGAGAGAGAGAAGGGTGACAGAAGACAAGAGAGCACAAGCACAGACAAAGGTATAATGACTGTATACAATCGTGTGCCAGTGCTCCCTCTCTTCTGTCAAGTCTATGGAGTCTCTCTCCCTCTCCTCTCAATCATCGACCCACAGATGGATGGATGGATACATTAATGGATGGATCTGAAAAAATTAGAGGAGAATCAAAAGTCCCCCTTCTTTAATTTGCAGCGTAATTCCCAAACAGGAAATTAGGGTTTCTGCCAACCAAAATAAAAGGTTGGTATTCATGCCGGACAAGTCTATTTAGATCAGTTTTTGTTTTTTTTGTTTTTTTTTGTTTTTTTTTCCTTTCTTTTTTTCTTTTTCTATAGTTTGTTTATAGATGTTGAATTAGAAAAATACAGGTATTCCACTCTCTCCTTCTCTCTTTATCTATTCTTCAATATACATAATATATATATATATATATTCATATTCGAGGGGCCCAAATATCGACGGTTCAACCCAATGTCAATCGTTCCGCAGTGTGCGGCCGTGTCGTTCGTCTACCCACAACTTGCGGCGATAAATTACACCAGTTGGTCGATCAAGGTTGAAGCCATAATGGAAGTCCGGGGCCATGCTATCGAACCGAAGAAAGACATTAGTGTTGTGGTAAGAAAGGATAAGTCGACGAGGATTGAAGTCAAAAGGAAATATTGCCAATGAGGCATGGGATTGCTTCAAAACCAAATTTGTTGGATTGAACGTGTCGAGACGGCACATTTGCAAGGATTAAAAGGTGAATTAGAAAGTAAGCGAATAGAGTGAGACACGAAGGAAGCTAAGTAGAATTTCCGCAAAGTGCTCATGCACAAAGAGGCTATTGGATGATGCATCCTTAGTAAAGAAATTGTTCAATACCATTCCAAATAAATATTATCCAGTTATTGCATGAATTGAAAAGTTATTTAATCTCAAGACCATGCCATTTGAAGAGGCTATTGGACATCTAAAAGCATTTGAGGAGCGCATATGGATACGGGAACACATCATAGTCGGAGATAGTCAACTACTCCTTACCAAAGGGAAATAGAGGTAGAGACAAAAAAAAACAAGGAAAGACTTCCTCTTATGATGCGAAAGGCTCTAGCAAAGGTAATCGTTACAAAAGTCATATCAAATGCTCAAATGTGAGAAGATGAGTCATTATTTGTCCAAAAGCCGGAGCAAACCACATGAATCAAAAGCCAACTTGAGTCTTTGGAAGAAAAGACATGACTCTCATAGAAGACGAAGAGCCAACACTTTCTATCGTCGAAAGAAGTGGAAACAAAGCAACTAGCTCTTCATAACAAAGTGCAAAATGAGCCCCCACTTCAAGATTTTATATTTGACACCATTTGAGTTTTCATAAACAATCCAAGTAGAACAATAATGGTGTGGTCCATGATTGTGGCTTCTATTTTGTGATACAAATTTTCCGTCTTCCAACACAAATTTCGATTAGTAATTAGATGATGGGGAGAAGTTGGAAGATAAATTCAGGCGTATGCATTCAACAATCCAAGATCTGAACATGAAGATCTTGTGTTTAATGGCAAAAAGCCACTCTACAAGAGTAAATCGAAGGGAGTGTAGCCATTGAACGAGGCAGAACGGAAAAGGAATAGTTGGAAACCTCGATCCCAATTTACCATTGGATGATTAGTGCACTCTTCCATATGATGAACTAGAGGAACTCCTTAACAACCAAGTGATCGAGTATGATTTTCAACTATTCACATTGATTTGTGAATCAGATTGGAATCCATTCATACTCGGGATAAAGAGTGCAATTTGAATGCAAAAAGCTCAAACTATTCTTCGCCAGAATTGCGGGTTACAAAAATCTCCTAATTGCAATTGTTCTATACGTGGTCTTCATGGGGATTGAAGCTCTAGGGGTTTCAAAAAGGAAGCACCCCCACATCCTATAATTGACATATTAGAGACTTTGGTCCACATGACATGGCTACTAGTTGAGATTTTTGTGAGCAAAGCTATTAGTCGGTTTTCTCATGATCCAAGAAAAAGTGAAAGAGCAATGAGCCGATCCACTCACAAAGAATTTGTCAAGTATACAAATAGAAACAAAAAGACATCTTATGTGGTACCTAGCCCTAATCCAAGATTAAGGGGACTTTGTTAGAATTAATTCTAAATTATCAAAGTTCAGTGAAATTTTTTAAAGATAATATTATTTAGATTTGGTAGATATTATTTAACTAAATCTAATTAGATTTAAGTTGTTTTTTTTCTTAGAATGATTATAGTTTATTTGTTCTACTCCTATAAATATATATATATATATGTATCTATGTATAGGTCAAATGTCATCATTCTTAAGAGGTTTTGAATTTGAATTATACATGAGTGTGTTTTCCACTCTCCCTCTTCCCCTCTCTATCTATTCTCCAATATACACATGCATATATTCTCGAGGGTCCTAAAACTTAAAAAATTGTCATTTCTTCGGACTTTTTTCAAGTCCGGGATATTATTGACGGACACCGTATAATTATGCTCAAATATCAAATAGCTAAAAACTTTTTCTTGTGATTCTTCCCTCAACCGGTTTCTTCCCTCTTTGTGCAAGAAATATAGCCAACTAAACGGTAAAAAGGTCTACGGGATTTGGAACTTCGTTAGAAGGGTGTAGATATAGAGGAAAATGGATAGTTAACATGTGAATTCCCTTTAAGAAAGATGACGGCCATGGAAGGATAAGCACGGCTTTAATCATGACGGTTATTGGCCATGGAAATTAAGACAAATTTAGATAGCTTCTTCATAACACCGATGATAAAATTGGATTATGCGGAAATTTTTTTATATAAATTATTATTATTATATATATATTCTTTCTATATTATTGTGTCTAATGGAAATTGAACCCCAATCTTCTAAAATGTGAAAGGAGTATCCCTTCACGGATTATGTGACAGCTTATTACACTAGCAAGAAAGTATTTTGTTAACTTTCCAAACACTAGAGTCATTCATTTTATTATGATGTTCCCGAATTAACTTTAACAGAAATTAATTTGTGATTGAGAAACAGAAAGAAAATAACAAAAGACAAAAAAAATGATTAGTCTCAAATGAAGCCAAAATATAACTTTAGGAAGAACAAGACAAGGTTTATCTTGGCAACAATATCTTGAAACTTAATTCACTTCAAACTAACAAGTTTTACATCGAATTTAATCTCTTCAAAACAGATCACTTTAGAGATTAACAAAAATTCATATATTCATTATTTTGTTCTAACACACAGGATTAGCCATTTAAGCCCAAAAAATGAAGAATTTTTTTTTTAAAAAAAAAAAAAAAAGAAAAGGAAAAAACAACGGAAGAACATAGAGAACCAAATTGTGACTGCAGCTGGCCAAGAAATAACCTTGATCCACCATTGAAGATGGATGATTTAGGAAGAAAAGTTGTATAAAGAAAATACACAGAAAAATTTCCAAACAAAAAAAAAAAAAAAAAATCCAACCAGCCCGTAGATTTAGTAGATTTAATTATCTTTTTCTCCTTCATAATCACACCCATGATTCCATGTGTATATTCCCAGTGTTTAATTACTTCAGCTACACTAGATCTACAATCCCTTCACGGATTATGTGACAATTCTATGTTCTTAGAAAAAAAAAAGGAGAAAGAAATAAAATCAAATGTAAAGGTTTCAAATCCACATAAAATAACCTCAAAAATTTTAAATCCATGTAAAGAATCAGACTACACAAAAAGGAAATAAAAATCTCAAGATTTTGAGACGAAAAAACAAACCTGGTGAGAACTGGAAATGAAACAAAGTGTTCCTGTAGCTGCAGAAAAGGGGAAAAAATCCAAAAAATAGCAAAAAAAAAAAAAAAAAAAAAGAAAAAATGTTAAACAAGTACATCCGTTAAATCATAACAGTAGCAAAGCTATTAATTAAGGAGAGGGTACCTTCGGAAATCCAAACCGTCCTCTCCGACAGCAACATCAAAAGCAACGCCTCCTCCTCCTTCAGACATCTTCCATCCTTCCCAATTAATCAGGATAACCCTTACTATATTCTCATGGTTGTAAGAAGATAGTAACAAACAACAACCATGGAAAATGCAAAATCAAAAATAAAAAATGAAATAAATAGTGCTTATCGTGTTCCTACTGTGCAGTGCACAGTTATCCACTATTTGACTCTGTGGATAAGCTTGTCTGTCTGTGTTTTTGGTTCTGGGAAATTCCAAGTGGCTGCACAAATCAAACCCAAGTGAATTGAATTGATGATCTTTTCGGAATTGCAGCCAGAAACACTTTACCTTTATTTTAATTTTTCTGCGCAGTGTGCAGTGGAGTGGAGAGGAGAGAGAGAGAGAGTTATGGATGAAAATCAAAGGGGGGTTTGAGATAAACAAGAAATTATAGAGAGTGGAAGCTGACAGAAAGAGAAGTGAGCACACGTATAAACAAAGGTATGCACTCCATACAATTGCCTGCGTGTGCTCACTCTCTTCTGTCAGTCTTAGTCTCTTTCTCTCTCTATCTTTGTCTCCCTCTCTCTCTAGATATATATATATATATATATACACGGTCCAGTTGGAGTGCGTGTACTTCCTGACCTACAAAATTGCAATTCAGAAGAGACAATAAGCTGGCCAGATCTGTTGTATGTATAAAGGCATACCTATTTTTGGAAAGACCAAATTAGGGTTTCGAGTTTCGAACCGATGAAGAATTAGGAATTATCGTCGTCGTCGTCGCCGTCGCCATCGCCCCCAATTTTTGTAAGCAGCAATTCGTTAATGTCGGCGGCCGAATTTCGCTCCTGCGTAAACACAATTGTTTATTCGAATATTAGTAAATATAATGAATAGGAGCATTTGCCATGGCTGATTAATCGACCATGGATTGATCGATGTTCAGAGAAGGAAGGACATACCGGCGGCCATTTATAAAGAGGGGGAAGAGAGGTCGGGGAGGAAAGGTATCTTAATCTGATGGCATCATTATTCCATGCGATGACTTTTGGAGGCGCACCACTTGTGGCTGATGTCGTCGCGTCCAGGGAAAAGAGGACGGAAGGGAATACGCAGGCAGGGTGGGTGGGGGGGTAGGGGTGGGGGGGGGGGAGAGATGAGGAATGGTGGGGGGAAGACGGAAACCGCTGTCTGTTAGGGATTGGTTAGGGCGACGTGGCGATGCACCAACCGTCCGATTGGGTGGCGGAATGGACCGACCTGATGTGACCATTTTTTACTATTGGCTATGGTACGGTGGGGACTCGTGACCCCTTCCACACTTCCTTTTTGTTACTCCTAATATTCATTTGAATTGAATACAGTAATTTGATAAAAATAAAATTATTTTAGTAAGTGTATGAATAAATTATGATGTGATAAAAAGTTTTTTTTATAAATTGAATATATAAATAGTGATAGTTTTTAAATAAATATAATATTAAAAATTACAAATTAAGAAGTGTGTATAAATTATTTACTCTAAATACAAATTAATATTTTATGAAAAATAAAAAAATAAATATAAATTTGACGAATAAATTTTATTTTTTGTTCATTAAATATATATTTGTTTGCGTTAGATTAGAATTTTAATGAATATAATATTATACTAATTGATAGTAAAATAACCTTTTTGAGAAAGTACATGAATTGATTAATAAAATAAAATAAATGATAAATAATTTGATATTTTATAAATAAATGTAATATTAAACGTAATAAATTAAAATATATACTACTTATTAATTTGTTGTACGGAGAGACTTACATTACCATCGATTAAATATTTTAAAAATTAAAATAAGACAGTACTCAGAGTAGGATTTGTATAATTTTATATTGGATGTATAAATATTTTATTATTTGTAAAAGTTACATAAAGATTGATATATTAATTATAGATAGATCATAGATGGAGTATATTTTTATAATTTATTTATGATGCATTTGATTTTAAACTTTAATTTACAAAATTATTAAGTATATTTACAACATAAGATAGAGTAATACTTCCTTCATCCCTTATGGTGTTTATTTTATTATATGTACAAGAATTTAGAAGAGATATAATTAATAAATAATTAAAAATATGATAGTAAAAATAAATATTATTATTGAGCATAAAAAAAAAAATAATAATAATAAATAATAGCAGTAGAATTCTGGATGGGTCTGTCAAACGGCCCATAAGTCGGTTAAGACGAAGGTCGGGCAAAGAAGAAGTATCGGCAGACGCGGAGGTCTGTCAAAACGAAGGTCGGGCAGAGAAGAAGTATCGGCAGACGCGAAGGTCTGTCAAGACAAAGGTCGGGCAAAGAAGTGTCAAAAAGATAGTCTCTTGAACCAGTTGTCTATCTAAGGAGATAAGACAAATAGAACCGGTCGGTTGGTTCGCTGTCGGATGGTTCGTAGTCGGTTGGTCCGGTCGGATGGTCCGTAGTCGGTTGTCTCGCGGTTGGACCAAATGAGGTCGGACGGAGGACGGCTGATACGGCGGTCAATCGAAAGAGGAAGTCGGGCGAAGAAGGAGATCAGATGGTACACAGTCGGATAAGCAGGTCAGTTGGTTTGCAGTCTGACCAAAGGAAATTGGTCGGTTGATCTGCAGCCTGACCAAAGTAAATTGGTTGGTTGGCCCACGGACGGGCCAAGGTAAGACGGTATGGTAGCAGAGTCAAAAGTAAGTCGGTTGGACCAGCCGTCCATCTAAGGAGATAAGGCGACCAGAGGATGCTGTTTCGCCGTCGTTGATCCACGGTCGGTTGGTTCTCAGTCGGCTAATCCGTGGTCGGTTGGTTCTCAGTCGGTTAAATAGGTCGGATGGTCCAAAGTCGGTTGAGCAGGTCGGGCGGTCCGCAGTCGGTTGAGTCGGACGACACGGAGGTCGGCTGATATGGAGGTCGATTGATGCGGATTTCGGACCAAGTGAGGTCGGGTGAAGAAGAATGAGACGGACGATACGTGGTCGGACAAGAGACCAGATAGTGGTCGCTTGATGGGGCGGCCAAGGAATCGTTTGGTCTAGCGACCGGTTAGTCTCCGGATTGGTCGGGTGGCACATAGGTCAGGCGAAACGAAGTCGGGCAAGAAGGGACATGGCAGTGGATATGCAGGTCGGACGAAAGGCATTTCTGGGACGGTTCAAGTCGTGAGAGGCAGTTCTAGGGCGGTTGGAGGAAGTTACAACTGGTGAACGGTTGAAGGAAGTAGCAACACGTGTCAACAGAGGAGAACTTGGTGGACGGTTGACAGCAGTTGCTGTAACCGACCAAATGGTGGTTCAAACCGCTTCTTTAAGGGGTTATTTAAGGATCCGGTGCTGTTCGAAAAAAGGCATCTTCAATCGACATCAAATTCAAGAGAATTGCTTTTGGGGATCACCACTTTATTTTCCAGTCTTCTATTTTATTTTTCCTATTTTATTTATGTATTCTACGGTGTTTAGATATTCATAATCTCAGGCACTAATTATATCATATTCGAAGATATTTTTCTATTTTCGGATTTTACTTTTTTATTGTTGAAAAAATATATCAACAATCATATAATAAAAATAGTTATATTTTAAGATTAGTATAATTGATTAGTCTAATTAAAATTGAAAACATATATATTTAAAGATATAAAGTAATATAAAAAAAAATTAAAATGCAAAATAAATAGGACAATCGGAAAAAAAAAAAAAAAAAGATGTGATAAAGTGAGATAAAAGAAGTACTATCTTTTTGTTAAAAAATTATATAGATTGCAAATGAATTTTTTAAAAATATATATAACTTAAATATTAATATTTTTAACAGCATATTAAAATTAAATTTATATTAAAAATATTATATCAATTAATATTATATTATATTAAATAATTAATTAAATTTAAATTTTAAAATTCAAAATCGTCGTACAAATACATTTGGGGGAGGTTTATTATATGGAATTGAGAATGGAAAAAGTAAAAAAATAAGGGTACGTTTAGTATATGGAATTGAGAATGGAAAAGTAAAAATATATATATTTTTTTATTTGAGATAGAGAAATCAAACTTGAAAGATATAATAAATTATTTTTATTTTTAAAATAAATTATAAATTAATTACTACAATTATTTTTGTATGTAATGTATGTAATTTTATATATAATATGTTGGATTGGTTCACTTTGTGTTTTTTTTTTTTAAGTAGATTAAGGTTGGTAGAGTATTGTTGAGTACAAAAAATAATAGTAATAATAATGATAATAGTAGCAGGGTTTTAATGGAGGTCGGACAAGATAAGGTCGGATGAAGAGAGATGAGACGGTCGATACGGAAGTCGTTCAAAAGAGGAAGTCGGGCGAAGAAAGATGAGACGGCCGATACGGAGGTCGGTCAAAAGAGGAAGTTGGGCGAAGAATGATGAGACGGCCGATACGGCGGTCGGTTAAAATGAAGGTCGGGCTAAGAAAGATGAGATGGGAGATACGGAGGTCGGACAAAGAGGAAAGGTCTGTTAATTGGTCGGGCGAAGAAAGGTCGGTTAATTAGTCGCTTAATTAAGCGACCTGTTAATCACCTGATCGATTGGCCGGACACTTGGTCAGACAGTAGTTCAGTCGCTCGAAAGGGCGGTCAGTTGGTCGCTTGATTGGGCGACCAATGAATCGTCTGGACGAATGGTTGTTCAGCCGATTGAAGGGACCAGATGGTGGATCTTGATTGGGCGACCAATGAGTCTTTTGGTCTAGCGACCAGTTAGTATCTGGATTGGTCGGTCGGTCGAGCCGGTTAAGCCCTGTAATTGGCATGAGGGGTTGGCGAGACAGTTAAAGACACGTGTCAATGGAGGAGGATTTAGTGGGCGGTTGACGGCGGTTGCTGTAACCGAACAGACGACGGTTCCATAACGCTTCTTTAGGGAATATTTAAAGAGGGGGTTCGCAACTGGCAAAAACATCTTCAATCGACATCAAATTCACTGGAATTTCTTTTGGGGATCACCATTTACTTTTTCAGTCTGTAGTATTTATTTTTCTAATTTACTTATGTATCGTACGGTGTCTAGAGATTCTTAATCTCAGGCATTTATTTTATCAAATTCGAAGATAATCTCTATTTTCGGATTTAACTTTTTATTGTTGAAAAAATCACTCAACAAATTGGCGACCACAGTAGGAGAAAGACAAGATTGCTGATCCTATGTCAAGAGAGAATTTTATACGACTGAGGTCCGGCCGAATCATCAGAAGAATCCATATGGCAGGCTCACAGCCCCAAGTATCTTCATCACCGGTGGGAGAAACTATTTCACCATCTGCTATGCCAGATGCAGGGGAAGTCCCCCAAGCACCCGCTGATTGGGTGTCTTATGTTCAACATTTGAACAATCAGCAAACTTTGGCTTTGCAGAACATGTTGCGTGAGCAACAAAATCTAATGCAGAACATGTTGGATCAGGCGTTCTCCAAAGTCACACTACATTCAAACATGCCTCCAGCCTTGTCACATTCTCGCTTTCAGGCAACTTTTCCAGGATCAACGTTTGCAGGGCCATCATACGTTGATAGTACATTTCCAAACGCCACAACTTTCAACCGAACAGATAGGGGGAAGACTCCTCTAACTTTTCCAAATAATGTTCCTTTGGGACCAAGAGTTGATAATACTCAGCTGAATATCGTAAGGGAAGAGAGGTTGGGGGGACAGGCTCATAATCCCATCTCATCCGAGCCAACCGTCCCCAGAGAAGAGAGGTTGGGGGGACAGGCTCCTAATCTCATTCCTGTTTTCGACCCTATTCCACCCAGAGTGGATCCAGAAGACATTGCTCAATTTTTGCGGGTGCATTTCGGAATGAATCCGCAAACGGTGAACAGGCCGGCCTATCAGAGGCCATTTCCAGAGAGAATCATCAATGAGCATCCCCTCCCGAGAAATTATGGGCCACCTGATTCCACTCTTTCTCGGGAGAAGATGGAGCTTCGACTATCTAGCACGTGGGACGTTTCACGGTTCAATTGGGGGAAGTGGGCAATAATCCGTTTCACAAACTACAGTTGTTTGGATTATCTCTCACAAGAACAGCTTTTTCTTGGTTTGCCAGTCTTCCGCCA